ATTTCATAAATATATTACATTTAACTGCATTTCTTGTTTTTTTTTCTCATTGTTTAGGTTGGGTGACATGTTGGAAAACACGTTTCTTCATTACACTATTTAAATGGCTTGGTAAATCTGCTTTCAGATTACAGTAAAAATCCCTTATTGCTTCTAGCAACTCATTTATTTTAGAACAAACCTTTCACATTTTTATATACAAGAATTGAAAATAACACAAAAACATTAGCACAGTGAGCCCTGCTGTTGCCCATCTGGCTCAAGAAGAACATGGCCAGGGTTGTGTTTCTTAAGCATGCTCTGATTTCAGGCTGCCCAGATATGTGCATCTTTCTTAATGTTCTTGTTCTGGGTTCATTCAGTCCAGGAAGGGCCATCTGTTTCAGTTACTGAGAGGGCATTTTGGTATTTGTCTATACAATTTACAGCCTTTTATCAAAATGATCCTAAGAAGAAGCTTGTGAATTGCACTTTGCTCTGGTATTACGTGGTTGAATATTTTTGAATGACAGACTTTCAAATAGAAATAGGGCCTTTGCTGGAAAATGAAATTTTCACAGAACATTTTTGTTCTGTGAATTTTTTTGATACAATAATAAAAAACCTGCGTTGTTTCTCAGTTTTTGTATTTTTTCTTCCCCCTCCCTTTACCGTTTTTTCCAACCCCTGCTTCCTTTTCAGTGATAAAATAGAAAAAAGGGATAAAGGGGATGTGGACTTAGAAAAGGGAAAGTGAGGAAAGAAACTGAAAACCTCCAAATTATCAATTTTTTTTGAGAAAAAAATTGTAAAGAATACGCTACCTTAATCATTTATTAAAAAAATGAAATTAAAATGTTTCAAAATGTTGAAAACTCATAGCAATGTTTTCCTATTTTTCAGTCACCTCTGCTCTGGTATACTAAGGTAAACTGATGTTTGCAATGGCAAAAAACAGATATTTTACAATATATATGTTGTGTTCTTTATTGTAGGTAATGCACCTGATGCTAAAAGGTGCTGAGTACTTTCATCTCATGTTGATTTGGATGGAAGTTCGGGCCGAGGCAATCATCACAGGCTTGTACCACTTGTTGGCTTACAGTATCACTACTGCAGCACTGAAGTTATGATTGAGGAAGTTGACTATTAGAACCAGGAGGTTCTGTGATGAGCGGAAGCGACAGCTAGGGAGGTTCGACTGATAGTTTTTCATGGAGCATGGGGAGAGCCTTTCAAAGAGTCTTCTGCGAGAACAGAAAAGCTACTGATATTTGGTTAGAAAGCAGCAAGAAAGTAGTGTGTGGTGGTGGAGAAAATGGTGGTGGAGAAAAGTTAATTATCAGAATAGAAGAAAGAGCCCTTACAGTTAATTCTGCAGCAGTGAATGTGCTCAGCAAAACGTTGGCTGATTAAACACTAGCAAAGGAGTCCTTGCAGCACCTCCAATCTTCAGACAAGTCCATAGAAGCTAGGTATCCAGCTCAGCAGTGACTCATGCTCCAGAAGTCTATCTCTCCAGCTGCACGTTCTTCAGACATTTTGACGTACTGCAGCTGTGAAGAGATAAATACTTTGATCTGTACTTTGAAAGAGGAAGCGAGCATATAAATAGTTGATCAAGCAGAGGTTAAAAATGTTATTTAACCTCACAAAAAAACCAAAGACAAACAAACAAACAAACAAATAAACAAAAAAACCACGCAAGCAAACAAATAAACCAACCCTGGAGATTTTGTAGCCTAAACACTGAGAAAAATATTTTTTACAGTGCTGTTCATTGTATATATTTCTATGTTTACTTGCTTCTTTATTCAGAACATATTCATTTCTGTGTATCTGAGTGTTATGTGTTCATTGGACAAAGGATGTGTTTAACTGATCGGGGAAATTGTTTGATTAAATGTAGAGATTCTGGAGAGTTTTTTAGAGTAGTTTACACCATATTTTTCATGAACACAGCTGTACTAGGAATTCTGGCTCAGATCCACAAAACTATGAAGGCTCCTAATTTCCTTTGATTTTCAATGGAAGTTAGGTGCCTAAACACCTTTCCTAGATCTGGGCCTCTCTTCTAAAGCACACTATCTTTTCCATTGCTTTTCCTCTTCTGCCTTTGCCCCTGTTTAAATTTTGGGTTTATAACTGAATAGTCTTGCAAAGAAAACAGTGTAATACGAATTGGGGGAAGAACAGTGCACATGTTGTATCTTTTACGCACAGTTAAAGAATTTTCAAGTTTAATATATTTTATTTGCACACTAAAAACCCAGTCACACACTCCCTTCTCAAGCAAAGCTCACATTAACTTTAGGAGGGAGCTCAATTCACAAAGATTTTTAGATACCCAGGTCCAAAATGTAGATCCTCAGAACTCTGTCTAAGCTGCTGCTTAATTATGTTGGTGCCTATACTGCCTAGAGGCCTAGATTTCTGCGGATAAAGTCCCTTAGGCACTTACAAATCTGCACCTAGTAATGAAAACAGCCACCCGATAACCTGACAACTACCTCATTCCTAAAACTTGGTATGATCCTCAAACTAGGCATTCCTTATCTATATCCTTTGTCTGGCTCAATATAGTACAGTAGTGTGTTTTAGAGGAATAAATCCTGCACAAAGTGAGGCAGAAGGTGGAAGTCTATGGACTTCTTATAACTTGGACCTAGTGGTTTGTATAGCCACCTAGGATGTAGAAGGACCAGATTCAATTTTCCTATCTGTCTGATGTAGAGCTGGGATTTGAAGCTGTGTCACCCACCTTTCAGCTGTGTGCCTAAACTCCTGAGATGTCAACTATCAATTGCTCCTTTTGAAACTGTTCCACTTTGTATAAGTAATCATTGGAATAGGGACTTTATTTGGGTCTTTCACATCTTAGGGGAGTTCCTAACTATTCAGCTATAGAGTAATTTTCACACTCTCGAGGCTAATGACTGTACCATATTTTTACAACTTCAGC